TATTTTACTTACTAATGGTATATCACCTCTAATTCTTTTCCAGTTTTATTTCTTATACACTGATTAGCACTTCTAATACAACTAATAATGATCAAAGTAGGCTTCCTTATCTTATTTACCATTTTAATGGAGTGTTAAGTATAACGATGGCTTTTGTTTATAGTGTTTTAAGAATTTACATTAGGAGGGCCAGCCGAGTATTTCAGTTGGTTAAGAGCACAAGCTCTGAGCAACAGAGTTGCCGGTTCAATTCCCACATGGGCCAGTGAGCTGTGCCCGAGCTGAGCTGCCAACAGGTGGCAGGATGGCCCAGCTGGCGAGAGCACGTGCTCCTAACAAAGTTGCCCGTTTGACTACCGCATGGGATGGTGGGCCACGGCCACCCGCAACTAAGATTGAACAGGGCACCTTGAGCTGAGCTGCCCACGGACGGCAGGATGGCTCAGTGGTTAGAGCATGCACTCTTAGCAACAAGGTTTCCGGTTTGACTCCCGCATGGGGTGGTGAGCTACGCCACCCGCAGGTAAGATTGAACATGGCATCTTGAGCTGAGTTGGCCACAAGCTGCCGACAGGTGGCCGGATGGCGACTGGACTTGGAGCTGAGCTAGCTGCGCCCTCCCCAACTAAGATTGAAGGACAACAACTTGGCTGTTCCCCTTCCCCAACTCCCCAACACTGCTCGCCTTCCCCAATTCCCCAGTAAAATATTTTAAAAATTAAAAAAGAATTTACATTAGGAGTATCTGTTTACTTAATTAGATGCTGTTCTAACATCAATTAAAATATTTTTATTAAACCTATGTTTTTGTATTTAGTTTAATATTGTATACTTTGCACTCTTAGTGATTTTTAAAATATAACTAAATTTGATTTGTCAACATTTTATTTAAATGTTTGCCTCTAATGAGATTGGTTTTAAGCTTATGCCAAATTTTTAAATGAATTTGGAAGTTTCCATCTCTCTAGTTTACCTGACTATTGGGATAATAAATAGCTGTTTTAAGATTAATGCAGTATTTAAATAAGACAATACATGTAAAGCATTTAAGTGCATGTCTGGAACATAATAAGCACTTTAACAAATAGCTGATATTCTAGCTGATGGTGTATTTTAATCCTATTTAATATTTAATAATAGGATTAATAATATTTAATCCTATTATTCAGAATGGGAATGTTCCTTGAAACTATATCATTAATAAATCATCTAAACATGGAGGCTTTTGCAGAAGAAAATCAGTTTTTTCCCCAAAATTTCTTATAGGCTGATTGGTCTAGTCAGGCTTTGAGCTTTTTCTGAATTAAAAGTATTTTTCCTCTCTAATATTTGTGTTCTCTTTAAATTAGATGTGACTAATTTTTTTCTGACAATCACCTCTTATATTTGACAACTGTGTACTTTTCTGCTTTACTAATTTCTAATTCTGTTTCCTATTTTCTTCAGAGTTCTTTTTTCATGTTTAACTTTTTAAATTAAAGAGTTATCTGAGTTTTTTGTTTTAAAACCATGTAAGCAGTTAATTAAGGAGATGAATTTACTTCTGATTTCAAATTTAAACATCAAAATATGAAAAAATATATTTTTATATAATTAGTTAGAATTAGGTAGCATGATTATTTTTTTCGCCTTCTGTATCAAAATTTTTGAAGTTATACTTATTTTTAATACTTTTGCCTTTTAACATTCATACTTGAGTTTTAAGTGATTTACTAACCACTATTACAACATTAGAGTATTCTGAATTTATCTATTTATCTTTACCAGTGTGACTTACACTTTCAGATGTTTTCTTGTTACTAATTAGTGTCCTTTCGTTTCAGGTTGAAGAAGGTTCTTTTAACATTTCTTATAAGCCTGGTCTAGTACTGATGAACTTCAGCTCTTGCTTGTCTGGAAACTCTTTCCTTCGATTCTGAAGGACAGCTGTGCTGGGTAAAGTATTTTTAGTTGGCAGTTTTTTCTTTCAGCACTTTGAATATATTATGCCCCTCCCTTATGGCCTGTAAAGTTTTTGCTGAATAATATCTGCTGATTGTCTTATGGGGATTCCCATGTACATTACAAATTGTTTTTCTTGCTGCCTTTAAGATTCTGTCCTTTTCTTTTTTACTTTGATAATTATCATGTGTTTCAATGTGGGGCTCTTTGCATTCATCTTTTTTGGAACTCTGGGCTTTGTGTGGATTTTTGTCTTTTCCTAGGTGATGGAAGTTTTCAGCCATTATTTCTTTGAATAAACTTTGCTCCTTTCCTCTCCCTCTGAGACCACTAAAATGTATTTATTTGCCCACTTGAAGATAACAAATAAGGCCTTTAAGCCATTTTTCTTTAAGCCATTTCTTCACTCATTTTTTATTCTTTTTCTTTTTCCTCCTCTGATTAGATGAATTTTACTGCCCTGTCTTTGAGTTCACTGATCCTTTCTTTCACTTGATGTACTCTGGTGTTGAAACCTCTGTTGAATTTTTCAGTGCACTTATTGACTTCTTCACTTCTTTGAATTCTGTTTGATACTTAGATTTTCTGCCTCATTTTTGAAATTCTCACTTTGTTTATGTATTGTTCTCCTAACCTCATTGAGCATCTTTATGACCATCAGTTTGAATTTTTATCAGGTAAATCACTTATCTCTTTTTTAATTACGGTACGTTTTTGTAGTTTTATCTTTTGTTTGGAACATATTCCTCTATTCATTTTCCTTTCTTCTCTGTGTTGGTTTCTGTGCATTAGATAAAACAGCTACCTCTCCCAGTCTTGACAGAGTTGTCTTCTGTAGGACATGAACCATATCAGCCTACTCAGAGCTTCTTATTGTCTCTTAAACGTTTGTGGTTGTCCATGCTGCCTTCTTTGTTCTTAATGTCTCCCAATAGTGGAAGGTATGCCAAAACCTGTCAGTGTTTTAAAGGGAAGGATAGCAGTCAGCACCTAGATGCAGGCTGATTGGAACCTGTACCATCAGACAGCAGCTGGGAAAGTATATAGTTTGGACCCTTCCAGGAAGATGGGGTTTTCTGCGTGCTCCTTCTGCACTGGGCAAGTGTATAGCCATGGGCAGCGGTCCTGCACCAATTAATAATTGCTTCTTTGCTATACTTTTTGTTGGACCTATGCACGCAAGCCCTGTTGGGCATCAAAACTAAGTGATCCAAGGGCCTGACCGTTGGTTGGCATCTGCAGAAGCTATGGTGCCAGATACGTGTACGAGCTCCTGCTAAGGAAATACTGGCAATTTGTAGTAGGCTGAAGTCAGAAGGTGGAGGTGGTGTCTGCTGGCATCCCTGGTCTCCAGGAAGGATCAGTGAGCTCCTAGTTGTCTGCTAAATTCTTTTGTCATCCTCCATAAAAAACTACTTATTCTATGCTCCCCTACTTGTCCTTGGGTTCTCTGTAACTTCACATTGAATAACCTTTTCTTTATAGAAATTAGTTCTTGTCCTATTTTCATATTTTCTGCCTTAATTTCTAATAATTTAGGATTCAGCCTCTTTTACTTTATAATTGGGCTTTTCAGCTATTATCTTTTAAAATGTAGAACTCATTTTTATTTATACAGGCATTTGTCTTTATTTCACATATACAGTTGTCCCTTAAACAACATGGGTTTGAACTGCACAGGTCCACTTACAGCAGATGTTTTTCAATAAATACCTATACTGTTTTCAATCCACAGTTGGAGTCTGCAGATGTGAAGGGCCAACTGTATGCATTGATCTACACCATTTTATATATGGCAATTGAGCATCCTTGGGTTTTTATATTCACAGGGGGTCCTGATTGTCTTAGCATGATTCTCTCTTAATTTTGCTAATGAAATAAGGCCTTCAAAACTCTGCCCACTTACTACTAAAAAATTCTGAGTTTTTTTTATTATATCGTAATTATTGCTTCAGAATATTACTTTTCTTTCTTTTTAAGAAGTAACATTTACTTGTTGATTCTATATCTTTTTTTTATTTCCTATCTTCAGTTTTTCCCAGAATTGTCAGAGAGCTTTTCAGATATTTTTACGGATAATAATGGTACCAACCCTCTTGAGTTTTTGTGAGGATTAAAGGAGTTAATACAGATGTTAAAACAAATAAAGCCTCTGGTACAGTACTTAGCATATAATGAGCCACAAAAGTTAGCTGTAATTGCTATAACAGATATTTCTGAAAGTACTCTGCCAGCAAAACAGTATTTATTTTTTTCCCATATATTGTCTTTTTTCCTTGAAAGATAAAGATCCACAGTGAATTATTTGCCAAGATATATGTATACAAGGACCTTTTCTGTCCCCTTCCCGACTACTGTCATTCTCAACTTTAGAGTTTTCCCTTCCCAGAGGTGCAGCTGAGGTTGGTGTGCACAGCCCTTGCCTACAGTATGTGTTTTTTTTTCCAGATGAAATACAATTGTAAATATTTCTGCTGCATTTTATCCTGCTTAAGAAAAGGCATTCTGGCATATGGAAAGTGGCAGTCTCTTCCCTTTATATAATATATCCATTCAGTTGAGCAGTTTGTACCTTCTTTTCCATTTTTGTGCTGCTAGAGTAATTCAGAATTCAGGGCTGGCCAAGTGGTGTGTTGGTTAAGAGTTGGCTTGGGACGCCAGCTCTGAGCAGCAGGGCCCCGGTTCAGATCCCACATGAGGGTCAGTGACTGGCCTCTACAGCTAAGATGGTGAACAACAGCTCAACCTGGAGCTGGGCTGCCATGAGTCGCCGGCGACTGCACAGGCTGCAGTGGGCTGCCATAAGCTACCGTGAGTAGCCGGCAGCCAGTGTTAGCGGCCTGCAGCTGGTGTGAGCTACCAAGAGCTGCTGTGATCAGCTGTCCAGAGGCCGGAGACCAATCTGCCTCACCCAGGAAGAGCACAATGATAATACCAACATGGGCCAATGAAGTAACGTCCTCCACAAGTAGACTGAAGAACAAAAGGACAGCAACTTGTCTGTTTCCCTTCCCCAATTCCCCAGCGCTGTTCCCCTCCCCCAATTCCCCAATAAAATCTTTAAAAAAAAAATTAAAATCCCAGGATTTTCTAATTGTGAACCCATCCCTCCCCAAATCCTGAATGCTGATCTTATGAGCAATTATATCCACTCTAGACCTGAGCACATGGGTTCTCCTTATCTAACCACACTGCACACACGGTGGCTTCTTCACTAATGATAATGGAGCATTGCCACTTTGCCCAGTGCAGCCACTCTCACAGTCTACTAAATCTAAATTAGCTATAGATGACATTCATCACATCTTTAACAATCTTCAGAAATATAAATTATTCTCTAAAATGGAAGCTCCTTGCTACTTATACATCACTAAGTTTGCACATTCATATTTAAAATATAATTATAATATAAAAATGTTAAACATCTAAAGATTTAAATTTAAATCAGAAGAAAAAATTTATTTCTAATTTCAAAAAGTTGAGGGATTGCAACTTTTCATCTTATTTTTAAACAGTTAAAATAGAAAATAATAAAAAAGTATTTTAAGTACAAGGTGACCCAAGGTAGTCACACAGATTACAGCAGGTTTCTGACCACGTAGGGTTGTTGCCTTGAACAACAAAAGTTGTGTTACAGCTTCTGGATCAGCATGGCAGAAGCACCTCCTCCTCCATTGCAAATACTGGCAAGACCATATTCTCCTTGCTTCAAGGCATGAACCAAATGAACGACAATCCTGGCTCCAGACATCCTACGATTAAGAAAACATTTTGGTTCTTTAATAAATTATGAAATTTATCAATACATAAAGGTTTCTATTCCAAGTAAACTTCTTAAAAAGTTTATTAGCCATTATAGCTGAATTTAACTACTTTTCTTAAGAAACTTGTTTCTAGAATGGTTACAGCTATTTTTAATGAGCTATTTTTTTAAATATTTTTTTATTTTTCAGTACAATTGACATACAATATTATCTTAGTTGCAGGTGTACAACACAGTGATTAGACATTTATATAACTCATGAAGTGATCACCCCAATAAATCCAGGACCCATGACAGCATACATAGTTACTACAATATCATTTACCATATTCCTTATGTTATACTTTATATCCCCATGACTATTTTGTGACTACTAATTTCTACTTAATCCCGTCCACTTTTCCACCCATCCCACAAACCCCCCCTTCCCATCGGAAAGCCATCAAAATGTTCTCTATAAGTCTGTTTTTCTTGTTTATTTTGTTCTTTAGATTCCACATATAAGTGAAATCACAGCATTTGTCTGTTTCTGTCTTCCTCCACTCAGCACAATACCTTCTGGGTCCATCCATGTTGTTGCAGATGACAAGATTTCATTCTTTTTTTATGGTTGAGTAATGTTCCTCTCATTCATCTATTGATGGACACTAATGTTGCCTCCATATGTTGGCTATTGTAAATAATGCTATAATGAACATACAAATGCACGTCCCTTCAAAGTAATGTTTTGGGTTTCTCTGGATAAATATCCAGAAAGGTCCTTCTGTGTCTCTTGTTAAAAAGTCTATTTTGTCTGGTATTGCTGCCCCAGCTGTTTTTTTCCTCCTCCTCCTCCCCCCCCCCCCCCCCCCAGCCCATCTTGAAGAAGTCCCTCACATTTCCTGTAATACTGGTTTGGTGGTGATGAACTCCTTTAGCTTATTCATGTCTGGGGAGCTCTTATATCTGTCCTTTGATTTTAAATAGCTTTTCTAGATCGAGGAATCATGGTTGTAGGTCCTTTTCATCACTTTGAATATTTCATGCCAGTCCCTCCTGATCTGCAAAGTTTCTGTTCGGAAATCAGCTAATAGTTTTATGGGAACTCCCTTGTAGGTAACTGACTGCTTTTCTCTTGCTGCTTTTAAGATTCTTTCTCTTTAAACTTTGGCATTTTAGTTACGATGTGTCTTGCTGTGGACTTTTGGGTTCATCCTGTTTGGGACTTTGTGCTCCCTGGACTTGAATGTCTATTTCCTTTGGCAGGTTAGGAAAGTTTTCTGTTGTTATAGCTTCAAATAGGTTTTCAATTCCGTGCTCTCTTCTCTCTGGTACCCCTATGATGTGAATGTTGGTACGCTTGATGTTGACTCAGAGACCCCTTAAACCATCCTCATTTTTTTGGACTTTTTTTTCTTTTTGCTGTTCTGATTGGGTGTTTTTCTGCAACTTTTATCTTCTAAATTGCTGATTTGATCCTTAGCTTCATGTAATCTATTGATTCCCTGTCATATATTGTTCATTTCAGTTATTCTTCATCTATGACTGGTTCTTTTTTATGTTTTCTGTTTCCATTTTTATGTTTCCTATCTTTTGAAGTTCTCACTGAGACCACTGAGCATCCTTATAACCAGTGTTTTGAAGTCTGCATCTGTTAGATTTCTTGACTCCATTTTTGTTCAGTTCTTTTTCTGGAGCTTTGTTCTCCTCTTTTATTTGGGACATGTTTCTTTGTCTCCATACTTTGGCTGTTTCCCTGTGTTTATTTCTATGTATTAGGTAGGGCTGCTATGTTTCCCAGTCTTAGTAGAGTGGCCTTATGTAGTGGGTGTCCTGTGGGGCCCAGTGGTGCAGTCTCCCTGGTCAACTGCGCTGGGTGCTCCAGGTGTAACCCTTGTTTGGCTTGTGTGTGCCCTCCTGTTGTAGTTGAGTCACAGCTGTTTGCGCTTCAGTGAGAGGGATTGACCCTCGGGCTGACTGGTTGTAAGGACTGGCCATAACTACAATGGAGGAGCTATGGTACAGGGACTGATCCTACACAGCAGTAAATCCCAGCAGGATATACTTTAGCAGGGCTCTGGTGCCTGCCCACTCTGCCCTTTGGTTGTGTCATTCTTGGAAGCAGCCGAATGATGCTCTGGCACAGTCCAAAGCTGGCCATTGGGTGTGTCAGCCTTGGGGCCTCCTGTGAGGGGCCATGCTGCAGACCAAGTTCAGCTGCAGCCTGCCCAAGGCCACTGGCATGATCCACAAAGCAATCAGTGGATAGCTGCCACCCATGCTGGCCTTGGAGGGCGTCTAGAGGCCAAGCCACAAACCAAAGCCAATTAGCACTAGTGCTGGGCTTAGAGCTGCTCACCACAGGTATGGAAAACAATCCACATGCTGCTTATTTGGATTTTGTGATCATTTGAGAGATTTTAGGAAGGGCCACAGAATGAGCCAAGACCGGCCATCTGTATGGAACAGCCAATGGAAGCGGCTTGGACTGGCCCATAAATTGGGTGGGGTGGGGTCTCAGGGAATCACAGAGTGGGGCAGACAAATGGTGTTAGCTAGGTGGATGGGGACTCAGTTATAGTGGCTACCTACCTCTGCACACAGGGAAGACGGACTCAACAAAAAGAAGGGCTTCTGCTAGCTCCTTAGTCTGGGAGAAAGTTGCCCCTCCAGCCCTCACTCTGAAGCCAGACAATTCACTTCTTCCCTGTAAGTCCCTGGTGCCTTTGTAGCTGCTGTCACAGCACTGCAACTCAGAGCGAGTGAATCCATCAACAAGTAAGTCAGTTCATGGGCCCTTTCAGAGGACCGCCTGGGACTGCAGCTGCCTTCCATCTCACTCAGCCACAATTTCCACTGGATTTCACAGCTGGAAGTTATGGGAACTCCTCTTCCTGGCACTGGAACCCTGGGCTGGTAGCATGGTGTGGGACGGGGACCCCTCACTCCACAGGGGAGACCCCTGCAGCTGAGATAACCCTCTTGATTTTTAATGGTTACACGTGGGTGTTGGACCAGCCTGTTCCACATCTTCGCCCCTCCTATCAATCTCGACGTCTTCTGTTTATCCTTAGATATAGGACTTCTGTTAAGCTAGCAGGTGATTCTCAGTGATGGTTACTCTGTAGTTGTAATTTTGATGTGGTCATGCGAGGACGCAAGTACAAATTTTACCTATACTGCCATCTTGACCAGAAGCTTTAAATCTGGTTAACAGCGTTTTTAAAAGCCCAAGCATAAACTTTAATCTTAAATCTTCAGCATAAAAACAATATTAAGTTTTTAAGCAACAAATATGACAGATGTATTCAGTGTTGGATCCTATCACAAATGGTGTTTGCCTTATGAAGGATGGGTGGAAAGGAAAACTGTTAAACCTAGATTAATAGGAATTAACATGAAGCAGTTTAAGTTCAGACAGAAATATAAAGTAGCCAATAACCTAGTTATTTTTCTTTATGATTTTACGTACCCAATTGGATGTCCCAGAGAAACAGCTCCTCCATTGATATTCACTTTTTGGGGATCAATCTCCAGCATTTTAATGTTTGCTAGTACAACCAGACTAAAGGCTTCATTTACTTCCCACATTGTAATATCTTCTTTTTTCAATCCTACATCTTTAAGAATCTAAAATATTTAAAAATATAGATTATGTTCAAATAATTAACATTAAAAACTTTTCATTGTTTTCTTGAAATTATGCAATTTCGGTCTGTATTTCCATATATATATATATATATATATATATATATATATATATATATATTAAATATATATAATAAATATATATATTTTTCCCCCCTCCAAATTACAGGTGACATACTATTGTATTAGTACAGGTGAACAACACAGTGGTTAGATATTTATATAACTTATGATCACTCAATAAGTCTAGTATCCATCAGACACCATGCATATGCATTACAATACTGACTATATTCTATATTACTGACTATTCTCTATACTGTACTTTACATCCCCATGACTATTTTGTAACTACCAATTTGTCCTTAATCCCTTCCCTTTCCACACGTCCCCGCAACCCCCCCTCACATCTGGCAACCCTCAAAATGTTCTCTGTATCTATGAGTTTGTTTCTGTTTTGTTTGTTCATTTATTTTCTTCTTCAGATTCCATATGTAAGTGAAATCACATTGCATCTGTCTTTCTCTGTCTGACATTCTCCACTCAGCACAATACCCTCCAGGCCCATCCATGCCACCACAGATGGACCCGTTCCCTTCCACAGGCAAGCAGTATCCCACTGTATATGTGTTCCACCTCCTCTTTATCCATTCACCCATTGATAACTACCTAGGATGTGAATGTTATGCTTGATGCTGTCCCAGAGGTCTTAAACTAGCCTCATTTTTTTTTCTTTTTTTCTTACTGTTACAATTAAGTGCCAGATTGCTGATTCGATGCTATGCTTCATCCAGTCTGCTGTTGATTCCCTCTTAATATATTCGTCATTTCAGTTTTTGTATTCTTCATTTCTGACTGGTTCTTTTTTATGGTTTTTATCTCTTTATGGAAGTTCTCCCGGAGTTCATATATTCTTCTCCAAAGTTGATTGACCATCTTTATAATCAGTGTTTTAAACTCTGCATCTGATAGATTGCTTGTTTCAATTTTGTTCTTTTTTTGTTTTGTCCTATTCTTTCATGTGAGAGATTTCTTTGTCTCCTCATTTGGCTGACTCTGTGTTTGTTTCTATGCATGTTACATCTGCCTGTCTTGGTAGGTTGGCCTTATGTAGTAGGTGTCCTGTTGGACCCAGTGTCCATGGTCACTTGAGCCAGATGCTACAGGAGTGTCCCTTTTGTGGCATGCAAGTTTGGGTGAAGCACAGTGTTAGGGAGTCACCAGGGCAGGGCAGGTGGTTAATATAGATTCTGGTTTGATGCCAGTGCTGAGCCTAGAGCTATTCAGCAAAAGGCTCAGAGCACACAGGGGCCAGCTGCTGACCACCTGGGGCCTGCCAGTGTTCAAGAAACACTATAGCACAGACCGCTGGCTGCTGGTCGTGAACGTACCCCTGGTGGCCTGCAAGTTGATGCCAGCTGTTTGTTGCTGAAGGAGCCTCCTACAGTGGGTGGGGTGAAACTGGCTGCAGGTCTCGGAAATTGCCTCCCATGGTGTGCAAGTTGGGAGCAGTAATGTCCCAAGGAGTCACCAGGGTGAAACAAGTGGAGTTCACCAGACCAATGCAGATTCAGTTTTGACCATGTGGGGGAGGGCTTAACACAGGGAAAATGGCAGCTGTCCCTTCAGTCCTCACCCTGGAGCCATTGATTTCTGCCTTTTTTTTAATCTCGGTGGTGCTCTGTGAAGTTCACTAACTCTCTTGGATGAGGCCTTCCCTCTCTTTCTGAAAGGGAATATTTGTTGGAATCTTCTGAGATCCCTAAACATCCTCAGCGCTCTCTTTTCCTTTGATCTCTTAACAATCTCCCACAGAAGTTTGGACTGACAATTTGGGGTGTGTAGGTTCTTTCTATCTCTATTTCTACTCTAATACTTGATTCCCAGCAGTTCTCTTTCTGGATGGAGACCTCTCCTTCTAATAGTAGTATTTGCTTTGAATTCTATTGTAGAACCAGGACTCTCAGCACTTCCTCTTTTTCTCTGCCATACCAACCTCCTACATTGTGGTACCATACTGGTATGCAACTTAAAAGTAATTCAAGCTATCTCAATGCTTTCGGAGATGAATAATGTTTAAAACCTGCAACCTTGGTATAAGCAAACCATAAGTTGGTATAATGGAGTATGTTCTCACCTTAGGTACAGCATATGCAGGGGCAATTGGAAAATCAATAGGGTCTACAGCAGCATCAGCAAATGCTTTATATAAAATAAAATTTTAAAAGTCATTAAAATTTTTTTATAGACACCCAAAGCTATATCTAACAGCTATTATATATAATATGCAAAAAATGCAAGTTTCCTAATCCCTGTAATATATGTAAATATATTTGTTCCTTTTCTAAGATTCTATACTTTATAAAATTATAAATTAAGCCATTGATTTTCACAAGTAGGGAGAATTTGTCCCTAGGAACATCAGTGTTATCTAGAGATATTTTTGGTTGTCGCAACAGGTAGAATGCCACTTATTGTGGCATCTAGTGGTAGAGGCCAAGGGTGCTGCCGAACATTCCTACAATGCACAGAACAGCCCCCACAACAAAGAACCATTTGTTGTAAAATGTCAGCAGTGCGAGGTTAAGACACCATGATCTGAATTAAGAATAAAATGAAGTTAGAAGGTTTTATAAAGTAACAAAATATGTTTAACTCCTTATAAAGAAGGCAAGGCAGATTTTACAGCTAAAAACAGGCTTAAGGAGACTGAGGGTACGCCAGAATATCTAGACTTCATATTCTAGACTCCTGACCCCATGTTCTTTTTATGTATATGGGATTGTGCCTGGCTACCTTTCCCCACAGTGCCTGGGTAAAACATGCACCCTATATTCACCCACTCATCATATAAGATAGGGAAAGATTTTTAAAGCTTACTCTTATATAAAGCAAATCATATAAAAATACTAAAGGAGCCTCTATCTCAATTAAAATATGTAGTAAATTCTGTCACAAAGCACAACTTATAGCTAGAAATAGCCACCTTCAATATAATGTATTACCAACAAGAAAACTCAGTTCCAGGAATAGAGGTTTAGGAATAAACAAGTTCAGAACATTTTCTACCTGCTATTCGGGCCAGTGGTTTAACATTGAGTCTCTTGGCAGCATCTGCAGTCATCAGAACCACAGCGGCTGCTCCGTCATTCAGTGTGCTGGCGTTGGCAGCTGTGACTGTACCTAAAAGCATCAGTGAGCATGAAGTCAAAACATTCTTGCACATTGAATTCCTTTGGTCCAGTTTAACAAATTCCTACAGAGTACTGCCTAGGTTGCTAAGTACATGGAAAATTACAAATGTAGATGGAGGTAACTTCTGCCCTTAGGAAACACATAGCTAACTATAACACAATTAATGTAAGAATGCCTTTTCGTGTTAATCTTTTGTAACATTTTATTCAAAGCTAGCTCAGAAACACATGTGTGATGCTGTAAACGCTGTTTGACAAGTTTTCAAAGATAAGGACCCATTCATATTTTCTCCCAGTCTCTTTGCTTATGCACCATAGAGTAGACACTCATTATATAATAATTTTCAAGTCAGTGTTAAATCAGATATTTCTTCTCTACAATCACTTGAAGTTAAAAGTCAGTGAATACTAAAATTCACTTAAGTATACATTTTTTAACAGAATTTTATGGTGTGTAAATTATGTCAATTAAGCTATTTTTTAAAATATCAATGAAAAACCTATACTCGACTGCTAAAATTTTTAAAATATGCTTTTGCAACATTGATTTTTACATGTTTTTTAAAAAACTGATCTATTCCTATAGTTGGTTTTGAGAAATTCAATCGGGAAAATTTCAGTTATTATCAGAACGGTACACAGCCAATTTTAAAAGCAGAACTGATTTTTTTTCCTCAAAGGATTTCAAAACCACTAAGAACACTGGGATCCCATTTATACTAACATTCAATAATTATTTATGAAGACCTACTACATGCCAGGCACTGGAGATACCACAGTGAATAACACAGTTGTCATATTAGTCCTCAAGCTTATAGATATCTAACATAATATGTAAACTTGACTTTTATATTACAATAAACTCTCAGGATGAACTGCATGCAAAAAACAATTCTATAGTCATTCTACAATCTCTTCTGAAGGTATTAAATGTTAAGCAATTTTAAATATACTTTGGATAAATGTCATGTTTTGTTAATTTCACTTGAGCCTAATATATTGAAAATGTTAAATAACATTTAGATGTTTTCTAGAATTACTTTTTTTAAATCTCTAGGCAATTCCAAGACTAGATATATTGGGTTGTTGGAAAAGTCATGACGTATTTTGTCTATGTTTTTCAAAGGTCATTTATTTATATAAAGCACAAAGATCAATGATATATTGCCCATTTTGTTCTATAACCTTTTGCGATCTTTCAGTGAGCTTCATAATTCCTTGTTCATAGAAGAACCTGTCTTGATTTGCGAAGAACAAGGTGCTGATTTACAGCCTCATCTGAATTGAACGTTATACCACACAAGGAGTTTTGAAACGAGCGAAACAAGTGGAAGTCTGATGGTACAAGGTCAGGCGAGTATGGTGGGTGTGGCAACACATCCCATCCAAGCTCCAGTAATTTTTGATGGGTGATCAACTTGTGTGTGGTTTCGCGTTGTCGTGATGGAACACAACTCCTTTACAATAAACAAGCTCTGGACGTTTCTGGATGATAGATTGGTTCAAACTGTCCAATTGCCAACAGTACACATTCAAATTGATTGTTTGGTTCCTTGCTAGGAGCTCGAAAAGCACGACGCCTTTAAAATCCCACTGAGAGCATAACCTTCCTTTGATGAATGTCTGCTTTCGATGTCGCTTGAGGCGAATCATCACATCGGGACCAAGACCGTTTGCGCACCACATTGTTGTAAACAATCCACTTCTCATCATCAGTTATCAGTCGCTTCAAAAAAGGATCGTTTTCCTCACGTTTAATGAGCATATTGCAGATGTTTATCCGCACCGTCAAATGAACGTCGAGTTCATGCGGAACGCAAATATCGAGCTTGCTAACATATACAGCTTCTTCAGGTGGTCGTAAGTGCTTGAATGATGGATGTTCAATATTTTCGCAATCTCTCGTGTTGTGTAACGTGGGTTTGACTTGATCAGTGCCTTTATTTTGTCGTGATCAACCTCAGTGGGCCTCCCTGACCGAGGAGCATCGTTGAGATCAAAATCACCAGCACAGAATTTCGTGAACCATCATTGGCACTGACATTCTTGTAGAGCATTGTCACCGTAAACTTTATGCAACTTTTCACAAGCTTGACACGCATTCTTCCCTTTATGGAAGTTAAACAGTAAAATACGGCAAAAATGCACAGTTTGGTCTTCCATCTTCAACTTGTAAAATCTCAAAACTCAACCAAATCACTCAATTTTTTTTTAGAATGAAGCTAGAACTTTCAGCTGTCAAATGATATAGCAATAACATAGATGCGAATGACTCTCGTACTTGCAAAAATGAACTAGTGCCATCGGTCGCAAACATGCGTCATGACTTTTCTGACAACCCAATAGTATTCTGACTCCCATATTTTTCTTATGCTTCATTTCTTAATACTAACCATTTTCTTTTTGGAAAACTGTCTTCAGTTTTGGAACTTTACTAAAATCAACACGTTTATATTCTTCATCTTCTTTCACCACTACATCCGGTTTACCTAGAACAAAAACCTTTTAAGTTAAGTAATCACCAGTCAAGACAACAATTAGTCATTCAGTAGAAACTGTTATACAAGAAACTATGCCTGGTAGTCTCTGCCTCCCTTTGCATGTCTGCTGCATACCTTAAGCCATCCCAAGTAAATTCTACTCTAGAATCTATCATCTCTGTTAGTGTCTTAAAGTAACCTTCTATTTCAGCTGCATCCCACTCTCTCCTCTCTCCACCTTCTGTGATCACAGATCCCACGCTCGTGACTCCAGGGGTAGATATCCAACCTAAGCTGGATAAGCTCTAGTGTTCCATCATTCTGAACACAGTAATCATTTCTAGATGGATATGTAACCTAAACCAAGTTAATGAGTCCTTACTATGGATGTATTCTGCTGGAGTTGGTTAAGCCTCTTTCCTCTTTGACTGAGAACCCTACAGATGTGACTCTGTAGAGATGGAGTCAGCAACTGAAGAAGCCTGAGCAAATAAAGCACAAAAGCATGTCTTAATAGTACTGAGTATCCAGCTCCAATCCCTGAAGTTCCCAAAGCTGCCTGGTTATTGCCGTACATCCCTCAGTTCTGGGAGGCACCCCCAGTAGCCTTCTAATAAATCCCTTTTTTCATTTAAGCTAATGTGTTGTCTGTCACTTATATTAGAGTTCTAATAAATACATTTCTCAAAATAATATGTTTAGTGGAACCTGCAATTCAGTTGAAATCTTATATTAAATTGGGTTGAACTATATTATCTCTCAGCTAGCAACATTTCCCTTAATTAATCATAAGCAGAAGTGTCAGTGTCCTCAGTTAAAATGAACAAAGATAAAAGTATACTGATTTAAAACTTAAACATAAAAATTTAGCAACATGTAAAGTGTACTAAATATTAAAATCTATTTTGGAACATTATCCCTCTACCTTTTATTGTAATTGTGACAGGAATAACTTCATTTCCAAATTTTCCAGCTTCCCATGCTGCTCTACTTCTGGTGTAGGAGTTAATAGCATAAGCATCCTGTTCATCCCGTGCAATGTTCAGCTTCTTTGCAGTATTCTCAGCACAGTTCCCCTGATAAAAGTTGGAATTTTTAAAAAAAAAAACTACCTTTGCATAACATAAAACACTAGCACTAAAATTTAGTTTCTTAAAATACACTTTTCTATACTTTTTACTCGTGTCTCATCTTTAAATACTTGAAGTAGCCCAGAAGTTGCTATTTTAAAGGCAAATAATGTTATAGAATCCATTATTAGAAGTCAGAAAATGCCCTATTCAAGCATGGGGCAATTTATTCAACAATAGAGACAAGATGTTGCAATGAGCACAGAAAAATATTTTCCTAAGCTGAATGGATAAAATCAACACTTATAGAGCCCATCCTTCAGTTTAATATGTAAAATACATATTTTAAAAATCAAGCAGTATTGTATGTTAGATGGCATTTCCCCATTAAAAAGCAGTAATTACCATATGAATCTTATTGTAGACGTCGGTTAGTCCATCTTTCACAATCAGGTCTTCAAGCTTTAACCCACCATATGGTGTCACTCCTCTGCTCATTACGTAGGGAACGTTGGACATGCTCTCCATCCCACCTGCCACCATCACATCCTGCTCAGCAACACAAAAACCCAATGTCAATACTATAGATAATAGTTGCAAACCCATTATACCCTTGACACAGCTATAAGAAATAACTATTCTAGGGCAGTTCACCTAGAGGTGGATTAGTAAGTAAATAAAGAAAAGATGGTGGGTTAGTAAATTAAAAACATGGTGGATTAGTAAATTAAAAAACAAAACAAAAAACTTAGCAGCTGACCAGAAAAAAGAAAAACAAGTATTCTACATGGACTTGGTTAAACAACCCAGTGAATACAGGAAGTACCCTCTTAACCCTGATGAAAGGAAATGGTCTAAAATATGTAATGATATTTAAAATTAGAGTTAGACAACAAGAATGCCGGGAATCTTTCATATAAGACCATCTTCTAAAATTCCTATCTTGCAGCCCTTCATTTTACTCACACTGCTAAAAATTTAATGTGTTCTAAAACATTTGTAGTAATCTCAGTTTGTGGAAATACTCCTACTACTTCCTTGATTGAGATCCTCAACAGACAGCTAAAATTATTTTGTACTTGATCATCTGACATGCAGCCTTTCCTTCCATCCAGGTGTCATCCACACTCGACTCCAGCACAGTGTATTATCAAGGCCTTTAACGATCTGACTTCTCTCTCCCTTTCCAGTCTCATGCCTGGACCTACACCTCAGGTCACACAGAACAGTTTAAAGGTCTCCAAAGATACCACACTCATTCACACACACCTCTGCACTTTTTGACCCATCTACCAACATGTAAAAATACCTACATTTCCTTTACAACTAACCAATACACAGTGCTTCATGCTTTACCTGACCACCTATTTCTACCCCTTCTTAGAACAGTTTCGTTTCCTCCTTTTGTGCTTCCAATTGCTGTATAATGCTTTCATTACACGGTATTGTAGCTATATTTATATGTTGAATCTTCTCACTAAAATAAACTAAGCTCCTCTGAGGCCAGAAATCTTGTCATATCTATTTTCATGTCTTTGGTACCTGGCATGTATAGAGAAGTTTGATAAATATTAACCTATTATTATAAATCAATAAATTCACTTAAAGGGCTAATTAAAAACATAGTTTATACCACCTCACCCTGGTCAGAAAGGCTATCATCAATAAGTCAACAAACCAGTGCTGGCGAGGTTGTGGACAAAAGGAAACCCTGGTGCACTGTTGGTGGGACTCCAGATTGGTGCAGCCATTATGAAAATCAGTATGGAGGTATCTAAAAAACTGGAAATGGAACTACCATATGACCCAGCAATTCCACTCTTGGGTATCTATCCAGAGAAACCCAAGATGCTAATTCAAAAAAATATATGCACCCCTCTGTTTATCGCAGCGCTATTTACAATAGCCAAGACTTGGAAACAACCGAAATGCCCATCGGTAGACGATTGGATTAAGAAACTGTGATACATTTACACAATGTGGAGTATTACTGCACTATATAGAAGAAGGAAATCGAACCATTTGCAATGATATGGATGGACCTAGAGAACATTATGCTAAGTGAAATAAGTCAGTCAGAGAAAGACTAATACCATATGATCTCACTTATATGTGGAATCTAAAAAGCTGAATAAATTAGCAAAGTAAACCAATAGTCTCAGAGATATAGAGGAAAAACTGATGGTTGCTAGATGGGAGGAGGGTGAGGGTGAGGGATAAGGGGAAGGGATTAGACAGCATAAATTGGTAACTACACTATTGCCACAGGGATATGAAAGACAGTTTGGGGAATATAATCAATAATGTTGTAAATATTTTGTCGGTGTCAGATGGTCACGTCTTGTTAGGGAGACCACTTCATGGATGGAGTAGAGGCTTGATCACTGCACTGTACACCTGAATCTGATGTTGTATAATATTGTATGTCAACTATAATTGAATATATATATATATAGTCACAGGATGTGGAGTATAGTGTGGGAGTGGAGTTAATGGAATTGTAATAGATATCTATGCTATCGGGCGGGGGGGAGGAGTAGGGTGGCGGATTGGGGGAGGGGGTTGTCACTTTGAGGGGTAAAAAGTATAACTATTGCACTGTGTTGTCCACCTGAAACTAATTTAAATAAAAATAAATACATAGTTTAATATAAACATTATAATTAAAGCCACTATTTTCTTACAGCCTTTAATCAGAAATTCTACACCAAAACTAATTATTTTGCCCATTTTGTAATACAGAGATTTTCAATTCTCGTTTTATTCAGTTATCCTGAAATATTGAATATTTTCTGGGGATGATGACAATAAGTAACAAAATGAGGTATCGATCATTCTTCAATATAAAATAAAATTGACATTTTCCAAAATCATAGATAATTATTAATATTCAAAATAAGGCAATTCCTAGTATTCCTATAAGTCAAGACAATTGTATACATGCAGAAATGAATCAAACAATACTGAAAGCATTTTAATGCAGTGCAAATAGCATTTGCTAGAGAACCACAATAAATCAACTGAGACCAAAATTGCCTTGTGGCTGGCCGAGTGGCTCAGTTGGTTAAGAGTTAGCTTAAAAGCACGAGCTGTGAGCAACAGGGCAGCTGGTTCAATTCCCACATGGGCCAGTGACGCTGCGCCTGAGCTGAACTGCCAACAGGTGGCAGGATGGCTCAGCTGGTGAGGGCACGTGCTCCTAACAACAAGGCTGGCCGTTCAATGGTGGGCTATGCCCGCCCGCAACTAAGACTAAACTCGGCACCTTGAGCTGAGCTGCCACCCGATGGCTCAGTGGATACAGCGCGCACTCTTAACAAGGCTGCCGGGTTCGACTCCCACATGGGATAGTGGCTACGCCCACCCGCAACTAAGATTGTAACACAGCACCTTGAGTTTAGAGGCCACGAGCTGCCGGTGATTGAAGAACAACAACTTGGCTGGTCCCCCTCCCCAATTCCCCAACACTTCCCCTCCCCCAATTCCCCAATTTTGAAAAAAAAAAAATTACCTTGTCATTCAAACACCTAAACAATCTCATGACCATTTTTATCCACTGGCTTGATAAGGTTTGGTGTTACCTTGTATGCAGGCAAACAAGCTCTCACAACCTTTTGAAAATGTGTAACTGGTACAACTTTTATGGAAAGAATGTGAAAATATCAAAATTTTAAAATCTGACTCAGAAATTCTCTTAGGAATTTTTCCAGCAGACAGACTTGCACATGACAAGATATTTTAATGTTTTCTTCACCAATATCCAGTGAATGTCACATAGCAAGTGCTCAGCTAATGTGGGATAGAAGTAGGATTTAAAATTCATCTCACTCTAGACTTTGTGTTCTTAACCACTATAATGTGCTGTCTCAGTGGAGATGATTCAAGTATTAGAAGTACACAATGATATACATATAGCAACTCACTGCAACATTATTTAAAATAGGGAAAAACTGGAGACAGCCTAGATGTCCATTCAATAAGAACCCATAAAATACATCATAGTTGTTCAGGTCAATGGAATACTATCTTGTGTGCTGATATAGAAAGATCTCCAAGACATTCAGTGAGACACAGTTTAATTAAGCAACTTGCCCTAAGTTCTCTGCTCTTAAGTGTCAGAAAATACAAGAAAGTGGTAAATTAAGTCAGACTCAGATGGGAACAAAAAAAGAATTATTTTTCATTTTATACTTTTATATACCATATCAGTTGTTAGCACATGCATATATCTTATAATAAAGTCTGATTCATTAGCTCAGAAATCACTATTCTTTTTTCTTCTTCTTTGGCTTGCTTTATCACTGGAAACAAAGCAAAGGGGGAGTAATATGAAGGGTACACATAATTATGGTTATTGTATATGTAAGAAATAATTTGCAAACAACTGATTTTTTTACCCTGGCATGTTATGCTCTGATAGGCTGGAATGCACTAGATAAGGATAGAGATGCCTGTTTTCTAATTCCAGCCCTGTAACTCTGTGGTCATCTCAAACTCACTTCCCTCAACTGAAAAATGAAGGGCTTGGATCTGATGAGCTCTTAATTCTATGAGTCTAGGTCTATTCTCCTAACACTACCACACATATTGCTATCTCTTGCTTGATCTCAGGTAAAGACAAGATCTAAATCAGCAAGGTCAATAAAAAGCCTGCACAGTTTAACAACTAAACCTGAGCCATTAGGAACTACAAAATTAGTTATCAGTTCTGGGCTCAACCAATGATTTGATTCCCAGGGTCAGCACCTTACTCTGATTTATGATGAAAACCCTTATTCTGGCAAATACAAAACTTAAGATGTTTTAAATTACCGAGAATGTCAGGGAAAGACTAAGTAAAGGTAAAGAGTCATCCAAAGACTAAAACACCTTGGCTGAAAACAACTTTTTAACACAAGACACTTAGCTACCATTTCAACCTCTACTTCAAAAGGAATTAGCACATCCAGACACTCCTGAGTGTCTGAAACAACATAGCAACTATACTTATCAGAAGGAATCTCACTTCTAAAGCATGAATGTGCTTAGATATTTTTTGGCGTCTTTTAGCACTGCGTCTTATTTTAATTATAAAATTGCAAAAGAAGGTGCTTCTTACCTGATGTCCACACATAAGATTCTGAGAGGCCATCATGATGGCTTTCATTCCTGAGGCACAAACTTTGTTTACAGTGGTGCATGGAGTAGAAACAGGTAAGCCTAAAACCAATATAAGTAAAATCATACTTTTGAACAACAAAGATACTCTTCAACCACAACTGAAGAATTAAGATTAATAAAATAAAGCATGTTAAACTATAATGCGCAACATTGCTTCTTCCAATATGTCTATAAATGTTATCTTATGCATTTAACATTTTATTTAAGCTGAAATGACCTCCATTTTGCAATGTCAAATATTTTAAGTATAAAATAAGCAAAAATGCATTCCTAGTACCTGCACCCAGGACCGCTTGCCTAGTAGGGGCTTGTCCTTCGCCTCCTTGTAGAACATTACCCATGTATGCTTCTTTCACTTCTTCTTTTGGAATCCCTTTTTTTAAAAAAACAAGCAGGCATTTCCTTATTTTAGTCAATTGAATAATTAGTGATTACCTAATAAAGTACACGACATTATATAGCAGGAATGGTTTCTTTTTCTTGTCAGTTTTGAGTTTCATTCCTAATTCTGTAGTATTATACAAGGATTTCTTTACAAGGGAATTCAGAAAGGCAGGTATCAAGTCATTTCTAAGAGTTAAGTATATAGTCAGTGCAAAATAGGTATTTGTTCCATTGAGTCACTGACCTCTCAACCAAAAAGCAAAGCAACTACTGACCTGCCTTTTCAATGGCTCCCTGAATTGCAATGGAACCAAGCTTAGTGGCTGGCAGGGAGGACAGGTTGCCTAGAAAGGATCCAATGGGTGTTCTGGTAGCACTTACTATGACCACTTCCTGGTAAGACAGACAATGATAAAAATTAAATGTAAATATTTTACCCAAATCATCTTTTTAGTAAATAAACAATTCAAAGACATTATCTAAAAAGCAGACTTTTTATGAATGACTGTTTATCAAAGATTAATCTCAGTATTTGAACAGCAGTAAAACTAATCAGTTCAATGCCAGTACATTACAATTTAAGACCTAACAGAAACCTATGACAAACAACTCTAAAATAGGCATGGATCCTGCCCAGTTCTCCAAAGGTTTGAAAACCAGAAGCTTAAGTTTTAATTTTACTCAGTCAAAATTTAAGAAATGACTCGTTAACTGTATAATAAACAACCCTAACCAAAGGGCTTCCTTACTGAAGGGAACTCTGGGGTTATAAATCAATACCTGTATGTAGATAAAAGCTCTCTTAAACGTAAAACATTATTATAACAATTCTCTTCCACATTCTCATTTTAAACGCATAAATAAGAGCATTGTTTCCTAGATTTTGGTTGAAGGCTATTACTAAGTCATTTTAAGGATCCTTATGAAACAGAGAGGACTCCCTCAGAATGCACTGGGGGGTCAGGTGATGGCCCTTCCTGTCTAATACCCAGCCTGGCTCAGTCCTTGTCTTCTAGTATTTTCCAAGTGGCCTCTGCAATGTGCCACATCATCTGATGAGGAGAAATCCTGCCCAGTTTCCAAGAGAAGGTTCTCTTGTAGTAGACAAAGAGGAAAAAGCAGAAATTACACAAGATACTGGACTGAAATTTTTTTATGGTAATTTGGGAGTTTATCTTAATATTTCAATTATTATCTAGTCTTAAGAATTGTATCATCACAAGCTGACCCTCACATATACACAAATCAGAAGTATGCATTTTTTATTGCCTACATTTCCTTTCAATTCTTTAAAGCACAATTTAAATTTATACTTACATTCAATGTGGGTTTGGATACATAACTTCGCTCTACATATCTGATTTCCTGTAATATAAATATTTATAATGTTATTTAAAAAATACTAAATGTCATTTTATATATCTCAGTGATGAAGTTATGGTGATTTCTCTGCTTCTTCATACTTTATTTCCAAATTTTCTACAGTTAGCATATATCACTTACAATCAGAAAAAAAAACATTACTACTTTGTAATATACTTATCTGATGACTGTATTTTGCCATGTATAATGTGCACTTTTTTGCCCAAATTTGTGAGGGTAAAATAAGGATGCACATTATACATGGGTAGTACTAATTCTGTATCTATATAAATGTTTTTAATCCTTTTACTTATGAATTAAAAGTGTTAACTCTAGAAATCAATAACGATATCCATATGCAAAATATCCTGGAATACGATAATCGGTTTTGTTGAACTTACAAAGAACTTGCAATGATGAAGAGTTCTTGACTTTCTATGATGCGTAAATATTGTAAATTTGTTACCGGTACATAAAATTTCTTGTACAGTAAAACGTTGGATTGCAAGTATCGTGGTTTGTGAGTGTTCTGCAAGACAAGCAAACATTTCTAATACATTTTAACATTGTAAATGAACAATGTCTTGCAATACAAGTAGTTTGTTTCTGGAACGAATTATGCTCGCAAACCAAGGTATTACTGTACCTTGTATCTGTGCTTGTGTTTTGTAATTATTTGTTATATAAAATTTCTTGTATCATAATATGTTAAAAAATAAATGCTAAAATTCCTTTATGATACAAAAAACAAGTACCTAAATGTAAACAAATAAAAATTTGAACTTGGGCCGGCCGAGTGGCTCAGTTGGTTATGAGCTTGCTCAAGCGTGAGAGCTCTGAGCAACAGCGTTTCAATGTCCGGCCCGAGCTGAGCTGCCAACAGGTGGCAGGATGGCTCAGCTAAAAAATAAAAAAATTTAAAAAATTAAAAAATGTGAACTAAAAAATTAAAATGAAAGTTTTTGGTTTTTTTCCCCTGAAAGTTTGGGCCAAAAACATGGGTGCGCATTATACATAGCAAAAGACGTTAACTTCACTGGAAATGTATGCTTTAATGTCTGATTAGTTTATTATCTACAATTTCAAAGCCTTTTTTAAGTAAAAGCTTTGTGAGATACAGTTTTGGGGCCAGCCGAGTGGCTCAGTTGGTTAAGAGCGCGAGCTCTGAGCAACAGGGTCACGGGTTTGATTCCAACATGAGCATGAGCCAGTGAACTGCGCCCAAACTGAGCCGCCACTGAGCTGCCAATAGGTGGCAGGATGGCTCAGCTGGTAAGAGCACATGCTCCTAATAACAAGGTTGCCTATTCGACTCTTGCATGGGAGTGGGCTACACCCACCTGCAACTAAGATTGAACAAGGCACCTTGAGCTGAGCAGCCAAAAGCTGCTGACGGGCGGCTGGATGGCAACTGGACTTGGAGCTGAGCTAGCTGCACTCTCCACAACTAAGATTGAAGGACAACAGTTTGGCTGTTCCCCTTCCCCAATTCCCCAGTAAAATCTTAAAAAAAAAAAAAATACAGGTTTTAAGTTAAATCTTTAAGTTCTAAATTAATTTTAGAGTATCACAAGAAAATATCCTCACTGTTTAAAAACATATATTTACGTAAAACTTGCTGTTTCTCACCATCCACTTCTAACAGATGTCTGATTTATTTGGGACAAACACACCTTATACAAATATGGTCTATGTTACCAGATAAATTATTTTTAAATAAAGAAAAGAGTAAATATCTTGCCCCTACATCTCTATTCTTTCTACACTGTTCTCAGGAATTGTTAGACAAGGAGCAGAAACTGCCTTAGGTCTGGAGAAACCACCCAGAATGTGCTGAATAGAAACACATTTCTATTTAATTGGACTGCAAATCTGACCAAGTTGGAGGGTGGAAGAGGGTAAGACGTACCTAAGTAGTCTGTCTGTCGAAGGATAGATGAAGGCGGCTCCCTATAAGGCCCACCAAATTGTTGGGGTTTCCCACACAGGGAGCCGCCTTCATCTACCCTTTGACAGATGACTTAGGTCCTTACCCTCTTCCACCCTCCGACTCGGTCAGATTTGCTGTCCAATATAAGACCTAGCGCTAGGCCTGTGTCCTGGGGCCAGGCCCCTGGGTCATCCGTCAGAGGGGACGCCAGGCCCAGTATGCACCATTCCCCTCTGCCAGACATTAGGAAACTGATAGTGGGACGCCCTGCCCCTTTCCCTTGTCCTCCGGGTAAAGAGGGTCTAGACTTCCTTTCTGCCCCCTCCTCCCCTCCTTCATTACTATGGGCTCCTCTTAACCCCAGGAACTCCCCTTTAGTAATCCGCATTAAGAGGGGAATTTACCCCGATTTAAAGGCTAAATGCCCTATTTTCTTTCAACTGTGGCCTGGCCACAATGTAAGCTTAATAATGGCAAATCCTGGCCATGCACCAGAGCTCTTGACCTTGATACTCTCCAGGATTTAGACAACCTCCTCCACTGGCAGGTAAATGCAGCAAGGTTCCCTTTGGGCTGCGATAGGATTTATCCCACTTCCCACCACCTAAGGGCAGACCACGCCTCTTGGGTTTAGCTTCAGCCTCTTCTGTCATCCCTGCTCCAGAGTCCTCACCCCCTAATCCTGATCCGGATCCTTTCGACCCCCCTGAGTTTTCTTCTCCTCCCTGACCTCCGCTAGTTCAAAACCCCCCACCATATCAACCCGCTACCTCTGCATCTCCGCCAGATACTTCCTGTTACTCCTCCTCCTCAAAGTCTGACACTCCCTCTAACTCCTCTGCTGATCCGCCTCCTCTGAACCTTTCTTCCCCTCCTCATACCCAATCTGGGCAGCCTGATGTGCCCCCAGCCACCCAGATGCCACCCAGGGAAGTGGCAGGCGCTGACGGCCCTGTTAGGGTCCATGTCCCTTTCTCGGTAACGGACCTGAGTCAGTTGGAATCTAAGCTAGGTTCCTTTTCCTCTGATTCCACCCACTTGACTAAAGAGTGTGAATACCTCACCCTTAGCTATGACCTTACTTGGCGGGACATCTATATCATTTTCTCCACATGTACTAACTCTGATGAAAAGGATCGTATCATTCAGAAGGCTAGGGAAACAGCACATTCTATACATCGCCAAAATAATAACAGCCCACCCACCCCTCACCCTACACCCAGGGAGATGGCCATCCCGACCCAGGATCCTAACTGGAATTACCAGATTCTCCCCCAACCCCATCCTGACCACCTAAGGAGAGACCATATGATCGTCTCCTTCAGGACATGAAGGCAGCCTTTCAGAAAGCTGTTAATTATGAAAAAGTTAGGGAAATCTACCAGGACCACCATGAAAGCCCATCTGGTTTTCTCTCCCGGCTTTCAGAGGCCCTGCAAACCTAACATTAACCCTGAGTCCCTGGATCACAGGGCCATCTTAGCTATGCATTTCATCTCCTAGTCGGCCCCTGATATTCACAGGAAGCTTCAGAAACTAGAAAGAGGTCCTCACACCCACAAGCAGATCTTTTAGAGCTGGCCTTTAAGGTCTTCAACAATCGAGACGAGGAGAATAGACAGGCCCATACTCAGGCCTTGCAGATGGCTGCCGCAGCAGTTTCCCAGGCCACTAAGCTGGGCCGGCCCCAAAAGAAAGGACCAGGACCCCAATCCTCTACACAGCCAAATCAACTGGTGCCTGCTTTAAATGTGGCCTGCTGGGACACTGGAGCCGCTCTTGCCCTAACCCCATGGCTACCCCATCCCTTTTATGTCCCCTAGAGGCACACTCTTTTACCCGTTCCTTCCTAACCCTGCCCCACTGTCCCACTCCTATTTTAGGGAGGGACATCCTCTCCAAATTTCATTCCACCAGTACTCTATATACCCCTTCTTCGGATACCACTTTTCTCAGTTTACTAGCAGACTCATCCCAGAACCCATCCTTCCTTCCCTTTCTAACCCACCTGACATTGATCCTTCAATATGGGATACCTCCCAACCCATTATTGCCACTCACCACCCACCTCTTGTTATCTCACTCAGAGATCCCACTCACTTTCCCACTAAAGCTCAATATCCTATTCCTCGACAAGGCCTCCTTGGACTCAAACTTATATTTCTAAGTTCCTCCAAGCGAAGATTCTCCACCCCACTTCTTCCCCTTACAAGACTCCCACTCTCTTGGTCAAGAAGCCTGATGGGACTTACCGCTTCATTCAAGACTTTCAAATCATCAACGAGGCGGTTATTCTGCTCCACCCTGTAGTTCCCAATCCTTATACCCTTCCATTCCTCATACCACCTGACACTCACTATTTTACTGTTCTTGACCTAACGGATGCTTTTTTTTCTATTCCTTTACACCCCGATTCCCAGCATCTGTTCGCCTTTACCTGGACTGATCCTAATACCAACTTTTCTCAACAATTAACCTGGACAGTTCTCCCTCAGGGCTTTAGGGATAGTCCCCATCTTTCTGGCCAAGCTTTAGCTCGAGACCTAACCTCCCTCTCCCTTCCTGGCTCTACAATTCTCCAGTACATTGATGATCTCCTTTGTAGCCGTACACATAATAGCTCTACTTCCCATACTCGCCTGCTCCTTAATTATCTAGCTTCCCTATGTTATCATGTCTCCCGCCATAAGGCCCAACTGTCACCTACCTAGGGCTTTGCCTTTCCCCAGGTTGCCAGGAAATCACTACACAATGCAAAATGCTCATTTGCTCTATCCCCTTCCCTTCCGCTAAGCAGGATCTCTCTTTCCTTGGCTTGGTCAGATGCTTTCGCATCTGGATCTCCAACTTTGGCCTCATTGCCAAACCCCTTTACCAGGCGGCCGCCGACCCCCTCTAGGAACCTCTCCTGTCTACTTCACAGACCACCTCTGCTTTCTCTCAACTCCAGACGGTTCTCCTTTCCACCCCCGCCCTTGCCTTACCTGACCTGACTAAGCCTTTCTTCCTATACACCCATGAATCTTGGGGGCTCACTCTAGGCCTCTTGGGTCAGAAATTGGGCTCAATCTCA